CCCCCTCCCCTTCCCTGTCTGCATCATTTGGGCTGTGTGAAATTGTTAGATAATGATGGAGCAACTTTTTTTCCCCCCTTCAAACAAGATATTTATTATTTTTACCTACGTCCAGGTTGTGTGTGTGTGTGTCAATGTATGTGTCTGTGTTTGTGTATTGTTTGTTTGCCAGCGTTAGGCTCAGTACCGTGTTGATGTGCTGGTCTGACTATGTGATGTGTGCGAGTGGTTGGCGGGTGCTCTGATGTGGTTTGCTCCTTCCTTCCTATCAAACATCTATCATTCTTCTCTCTCCTCCTCCATTTTTGTGTATGTTCCTCTCTTGTAACAACTCTAAATCTTCGGCACTTATAGGACCTTATTGTGTTGCAAGTGCTGTAAAACTCGTACTAAAACTCAAACTAAATGTGATGTTTGTCCTGTCTGCTGAGGTGTACGTGTGTCAATGGGACATACGTGCAACTGTTCCTGTGTGTTTGTGTCGTTCAGTTGTGTCGTGGTGTGTCAGGCTTTGGAGAACCTCAAGTTGTGACATCGCCCTAGCCTGATCGCTTTGATGTCTGCCTCAAGATTTATATATATATATATGTGTGTGTGTGTGTGTGTGTGTATTTATTTACATTTATATTTATGTTTTGCGTTGTTTTGATCATGACGTTCCAGTGATGTAGGTTTTTTAAAAAAATTAATCTGTGATTTTACTTTGCACTGTATTTGGAAGTTCGCTTTCAAAATATGTGTATCTATCTATATATATATATTTATTTAATCTACTACTGGCTTGTCGAGACTATTTATCTAACATGCATTTTAGTTGCTTATAGTAGAGTAAAACTTGAAGCTTTTAGTCTTGGAAAACAAGAGTTCTATTTAGAAAAGTTTGTACAAGTACCATTCTATATATTTCAGTTTCATTTGAAATTGTATATATATATATATATTTATATCACTTGTGGTAATTTGGCATCACTTAAAATCTTTCAGTTGTAACATTTCCTCACACAAAGTCTCCTTTTTAGGATTTTTTTTTTTTTTTTTAAAGTAAATATTTTTTTAAAGGTCATTATATTGAACATTTTTTGTAAAAACTCTTGAGAGTTCATCAGTTGAGATGCGAAGAGAAACTTGTGTGAGTTTGTTTTGTCATCAGATCGGAGAGTTTATGATGCAGCTCAAAGTGTTCTTTGTGGTAGATATTTCGATATTTAGGTATTGATAATTATGTATTCAATATTCTTGTTATGTATGTATGTATATATGTACGTTTGCTACTGTAAACCAAATTGTCCTTCTGGGATCAATGAAAAAATTTATTTATTTATTTATTTATTTATTTATTTATTTATTTATTTATTTATTTATTTATTTATTCATTCATTTATTTAGTTAGTTAGTTTAGCTAGTTATATTGTTGTGGTTTACCAGTGGGTGGATGGGCAGTCAATGGTTCCAGAGTCCTGATGCCGTTGTTTTTTTTCTCTCTCCCTCTCTCTCTCTCTCTCTCCGTGCATCTGTTCGCCCATGTGTGTGTGTGACCGGCCCATCTAGCTGCCCAGGCGCCTCCTCAGCCACAGCCACAGCCGGCCAGGGTCTCACAGCCGCCCCCGCCCAAACAGGTGAGTGAGTTGTCAGACAGACAGACAGACAGACAGACAGGTTTTTTGTGTATGTTACTCTGTTGTCGCAGGATAGAATACGAAATGAAGAGCTAGGGGAAAGGAAGGGACGAAAGGATATAGAAGTAGAAAGAGACTAAGAAAGTGGCGATGATGGGACACACCTTCAGAAAGCCCAACGGAAACATCACAAGACAGTCGCTGGAGTGGAACCCACAGGGAGCACGAGGCAGGGGTAGCCCATGAGAAACATGGAGGAGATGTGTGGAAAGGGACAAGAGAGAGATGAAGCTCACTTGGAACGTGCTTGGAAGGATGGCTCAGGACAGAGATGAATGGAAGGAGCTTGTATGTGGCCTATACCCTGCCAGGGGTGGAAGGATGGCTCAGGACAGAGATAAATGGAAGGAGCGTGTATGTGGCCTATACCCTGCCAGGGGTGAAGGGCATTGATGATGACTCTATTGTGACATATCTAATCTTCGACACTTGTATAACCTTATTGTGTTGCAAGTGCCGTAAAACTCTTACTAAAACTAAACTTATCTCTCCTCCTCCTTTTTTGTGTATGTTACACTCTTGTGACACATGTATTCTTTGACACTTATACGACCTTATTGTGTAGATAGTGCCATAAAACTTACTAAAACTAAAATTACCCCCTGGGGCACTGAAACTAAAATTACCCCGCGGGGCAGTGCCACTGACTGTAGTGTCTTTAGGCCATTCCCAAAGGGGGGACATTTCTCGTTAAAGCGCAGTAGAATTGTAAATGGGCTGACTCATGTCGCGCTCATAACTGTGCCTGATCTACAACAGGGAATGCTGCTTTTTCTTTCCTGATCCTTACTATTGTCATTTCCTCTATCTCTTTTGTATGTTTGTCACACTCTTGTGAACTGCTATTTCCGGGGTGCCTTGATAGTCGAAGCAGACCTTGTGCTGTTAAAGCTAAAGAGGTGGGCAGAGTAAGTCTGATTCCCTGTAAAGACTTCTCTGTTGACACCCACCCCTTGTCGCTCATATGACCTTATGTTGATGATGCGCTATAATGATAATAAAAAACTAAAACTTTTTATTATGGTAATGTTTTTCTTATTGTTTCTTTCGCCTGGCTCAGCCGGCCTACCAGGCAATCTACGACTACACGGCGGCCGATTCGGACGAGGTGAGCTTCAACGAGGGTGACATCATCGTCAACACGCAGACGGTGGACGCAGGATGGATGACGGGCACCGTCCAACGCACGGGGCAACACGGCATGCTGCCCTCTAACTACGTGGAGCGGGTCAACTAGACGCGCACCGGTGGACGCACGTACGGACGTTCACCGTCTAGGGAACGCTTTCTAGTTAGGAAAGTTTGTTTTTTTTCTTTTGCATTTTTAAAAAATACTTTTTTTTTAAACTTTTAACACGTGGCAAAGAATGAAATAATTTAAAAAGTTTTGCCTGAATGTACCTGGTAAGTGTGGATACACGTGGCAAAGAATATAAAGGCTTTTGTCAGAAGGTACTCGGATGTGTATGTGTGTGTGGGTGTCTGTCTCTAGTGCTGTGTGTGTGTGTGTGTGTGTGTGTGTTCTTTGGAGTGAGGAGTGTACCGTTTTGGAACATTTTATTGGTGGCGTCACTGGCTAGCTTGGGTCTTTGCCTTCTTCAGTGTTCATGGGACTGTGTTTTTGCCTAGAACAATGCTTGTTTGTGGTGGTGAGATTAGTTAGTTGCTGATTCAGCCAGGCATGAGTTGGGGGAGGGGGGGTGGGGGTGGTGATAGCTATTATATGTGCATTGTTAAGTCATGCTTTGTCATAATTTGACACCATAGATGATGTAAGTTGTAAAAACTTTTGACCCGCGCTAGCAGAACGGATACAAATATTTGTACTGAAACTTGTTGAGACAATTTCACCTTCAAAGACAGGATGAGTGAGTGGGAGCAGGAAGGAAGGAAGGAAGGAAGGTGCGGGACAGAAATGTTTTCTGAAAGATCACACAGGCGAGCACATCTTTGTATTGTCTCACTGAAAGTCACCACACTCACACCTTTTGGACATATTCTCAATATCAATATGTATGTGTACTGATATACGAATATATATATATACATACAATATACACACGTCTGCATTTATGGTTTTTGTAGTCTCGGAAATGTAATGTTCTTGGAAAGTATGGTGATTTGGTAATTTAGTTTATTTTTTGAAAATCTGAATCTTCTTCTTGTTGTTCTGTTGAGATTTTTGCTGTGGCCTCTCTGTGTTTGGCCGGTTGTTCGTGTGATGGTCTTCTCTCTGGTTCCTCCGGTAATTTATTTGTCGTTTCTTCGTCTTTTTTAATGAGCACATACTTTGAGTGACTGGTCACTTGTGGCTCTCCTGTGGGCCTGGTGTTTGTGAGGACAGAGTTGTGGGTACGTGAGTTGAGTTGATATTAGTGCAAGTTTTGATACCTGTGACTGCGTGACGCGTTTTTGAAAACGGAAGGGTTTTTTTTTGTACATGTGCGTGTAATATCTGCTTTGCTTGACGCTATTAAAGAGAATTGTTATTGCACTGTTTTGTACGTTGTGAATTTTCTACGTGACATCTTTGAGCATATTGGTGCCGACGGAAAGTTGATTTGATGAATGGTTGCCTACCTTACACTGAGGTGACGACCGACCATCGTAAGTTTCATCTACGCATGCACGTACAGTTACGTCCAGGGACTGGGAAAGAATGTAGTGAGAGGTCTGTTTACAAACTGGACGAGAAAGTGGGGCCGCGCTTTACTTTTGTGCCAAAGTCGGAATGTAGAGGTTTTGTCGAGGAAAAAAAACAACAACTCTTTAACCCCTTCACTGCTGTAAAATTTCCATCAATATCTGTACCATCAAGATAAAATGTTAATTCAAGGAATATTTAAACACAGAGAATTGTTTCAGAATAAGCAAAATCACAAGCTGAAAGTATACCAACTAAAACTCCTTTTGTCAATCAGAAGAAACAATATAATTGGAGAATACAAGCCAGAATATACGTCTACTCAGCGGTGAAGAGGATAAGTTTAAGCCTCATTAAAGAAAAAAATTTTAATGTGAACCTGAATTATTATTTTTTTTATGAGGTTGAAGCACTTGAAGTTATAGAGAACATTCATACAGGGCTTATTTTGCTGCTCTCTGCGAGTGTATATCATAGCACGTGATTTCCCGTACTAGCTGGGAAATAGTCTTCAACTCATATGTGTCTTGTGCTAGACCACCGAACAAGTGGACAACGCATGACGACAGAGCTACACCACAGAACAAGTGGACAACGCATGACGACAGAGCTACACCGCGTCCTGAGATTGATCGCCTCAGGTGTTTCACGGCCTCTTTCTTCTCGCTGGGAGAGCTCCCTAAGTAACCTACAGTATAGTACTAATAATGACTTAGTTCTTTGCTCATCGCTGGAGACGAAACGAGAGTTGCTATGTGTTATAGTCACATTATGTAAGATAAGGTTGAACTTTTGAAAATATATATATATAATGCGTGCATATCTTTCATGCCACAAATTTCAGGCTTCAATGTTGTTTATTTTTTCATGTTGTATCACAGACTTCCTTGCAGGACTGGGACTGTTGAAGTGGTATTGAAAAACTTACTTACAATGAAGTCACGGAGTGGAGAAAGTAGGGTCATTGTACAAGACTTTGTTCTTTGCTTCACAAGTAGGCTACTGCATCTACGGGGACGAGAATCCTCCCTCTCTCTCTCTCTCTCTCTCTCTCTCTCTCTCTCTCTCTCTCTCCCTCTCTCCCTCCCTCCCTCCCTCCCTGTGTGGGGTAACAATTTTTTTCTTGTCTTTCCTTTTTCCAACCAACAAACTTACACGTCACAGCTTCGATCGACGTAGAAACATTTCTGGATGCTCCTTGTCATGGTAACTCCACCTCCTGTTGAGTTTTCTGTTTAATTGGATGTTTGTGAAGCGATGTTTGAGGTGGCGTAGCGGGTCGTTTCTCACACAAACAATTGACACCAGACGTGCAGAGCTTTGACTGCATGTGTTTTGTCGTGCTGTCGTTATGAAAATCATTCTCTGGTTTTTTTAACTTGATGATATTCTGTCCTGCCATCAATTCTACAATATTCCTCATGGATTGAGGGCGTGGAGAATGATAATAATGACAATAATAATGATAATGTTGAGAAGTTTGTGAGTGTAAGATAGGTCTACTTGAGGTGTGAGATTTGCTTATATGCACATAATTCGTCAGCTCCTATTTCTTCGATACACTGTGCACATCTTTGGAGTGAAAATATTTTCTATTACAATGATATATTTTGCGTATCTGCGACCCGATGTATATCTTGTGTTTGAGGCGTGATAAATGTGAACGTGGTAGAGACTTCGTAGTAGGCCGATGTGTTTTGGCGTCTGAAACTAGATATGTTGTTTTATGTTGGTGATGCGCTATGACGTTTGTGGATGTGTGTGTGTGTGTGTGTGTGTGTGTGTGTGTGGAGTAGGTCTTACTAGTCCTAGCTCTTGACTATTGCAACATTGTCTCTCACTCCGTCAGTGATTCCTCTGTTCTTGATGTTTTGCTTTGATTCTACGTCTGATAGATCCTACGTCTGATAGATCCTACGTCTGATAGATCCTACGTCTGATAGATCCTACGTCTGATAAGATTCTTCGGTTACGAAATGGTTTTTTGTTCCTTGCATGGCTTAAATTGACTTTTGAAAAGTAAAAATTAGGAATTTGTTTCTCAAAACTACGTAATGAGTTCATATAATTGATGGTTGAGATCTGGTTTGGTCAAGTTGCTGATGCAGGTTGGTGAATTGACTTTGTTCTTTTCTCACTGATATTTGACTTGAGTTTTCTGTGTAGACAAGGAAGAGAGACTTTGTGCTGTCGAGGCTAGAGAGGTGAGCAGAGTAAGTAGTAAGTCTTATTCCCCGTTTGGACTTCTCTGTTGACATCCACCCCTTGGCGCTCGTATGACCTTATGCAGTTGCGAGTGCGGTCAAACAT